CTCCTCCTCCTCCTCCTCCTCCTCCTCTAATCTTGTGCTACACATGTCATTCTTGTTGGATCAATGGTTATGCTTCACAAACATGAGGGTTGCGGTCTTACTGTTTATTCCCTAAAAATAATAATAATAAATAAAACAGGAAATAAAGAAATCCCAGTATTATTTAAAAATAAATCTATAGGACACTCAAATGATTTTGATTTTGTAGATAGTGACAGATTTACAGTTCTGAAAGAAAAAAAAACCCTGATCTTTGAGCTGTTCATACTCAAAATGCATAATATAAATTATTTTTCTATTTGAATTGTGTGTGTGTTTTTCCCCCAGGGAATGCCTAGGTCCTTGTCCTTAATATGCCATTGGGCTTCATAAAAGTTAAACAGACCTCTTGAAAATTGGAAAACAATAAACTTAACAAAGACTCCAGCTGGAACCACATCTGAAAGAAACATCTCTTCTTAAGACTCTAAATCTTGAAGGACAGGAACATCTGCCTCTCTGCACTCATGAATCAGGAGTTTGGCCCATCTGTCTTTTCCACTTTGAGAACAGAAGAGATGTTACCTTCCAATTCCTCCATTTTTGATGGGAAAGGCATTATGGGGATTAGTTTTTTTCACTACAAACCTTTGCTGCTCTTGAGAAACTAGACTTAATGCACAGTTACATTTCTGATTTGAGCTGGTTCCACCATATTTACTCTCTGCAGGGAATCATCATCCTTGGAAGGGAGAGGAAGAAAGGTCTGCCCAGACCACATTCTCATCAACAGTCCCCAACTGTCAAGGTTCCTAGACAGAAGCCAGCGCTTCTGGACCCCTTTGTAGTCCAAAAATGATGGGCCAGTCATTCTCTCCTAGACCAGCCCTACCCCTTATTGAGCTTCAACTTTTAACATCCCCAGCCAGCAGAACTCAAGAACAGCAGACAAGTTTTCCTGCAAAGATGTTTGTGTCCCATTATCAATCTTCCCTTGCAATGCTTAATTTCTCTGCAGAAGGAGGCAAATCATCAGCAAGGAATCTACTGATAACTCTCTAGATCAGTGTTTCTCAACCTTGGCTGCTTTAAGCTGTATTAAGCTGTAATTCCCCATGCTGGCTGGGGAATTCTGGGAGTTGAAGTCCACACAACTTAAAGCGGCCAAGGATGAGGAACACTGCCCCAGATACTCTGCAACTGATCAGGAAGGGTTCTTACTCCCATTTGTTTGTAATAAAGAGGTTAAGGGGTTGGACTTAAATTGGGAAGACCCAGGTTCAAGTTCCCACTCAAGCATGGTGACTCTGGGTCATATTAAATACTACATATAATAATAGCAAGGAGCAAAGATTCCACACTTCCTAAATTTGCTTAGTGAAATTCAGAAAGTTTGGCAGGAAGTTGGCATAGACAGGGCTGTGCAAGGATTTATGTGCAAGGACTAGTTCTAATATAGGAAACACTTTCCTAGTTCCACTTCCCCTTGTTTTGCAGTTTTGTTTCCACGTTCTTAAGCTCCAGTTTTGCACCTGGTGGACTTCAGGGTTTTATTGAAAAGTGCAACATAGCTTGTAAGTCCTAAATCTGCTTGTCCTTGTTTTATGGCGTCTTTCATGCTAAGCACCTGGGCATTGTTTTGAATGAATTCTGTACTTCACAGAACATCTTGTAGCACCTTCGACAACAGCGGATGAGTCACGCCCTCATCCCCACTCAGATGGATTACTGTTATGCGCACTGCATGGGGCTACCTTTGAAGACCACATAGAAGCTTTAGTTACTCCAGGGTTGACAAGTATTTGCAAACACGAGCACATTACACCTGTACATCAGGCCCTGAATTGGCTTCCTATTAGCTTTCATGTGCTGTTTTTGACCTTTAAAGCCCTATATGGCTTGGCATTGAGATATCCCCAGGAATGTCTCCTCCATTACATTTGACCCATCCAGAGTTCCTCAATTAATAGTGCCTCAGTTCCAGGAGATTAGGGGAGTGGAGGCTCACAAATGTTTTTCAGTGGCGGCAATGATGCCACAAGAACTCCCTGCCTCCGTGAAATCTGATCAGTTTCTTCCTTCTTAGGTTTCAGGGAATGATAAAAAAAAACAGAATTGTTTAAGAAGGCCTTGGAGCGAGAGAGGTCACCTTTTATTTTTAATGGCTTTTTGATTGCTTGTTTTGTGATTTTCCTCCGTGCTTCAATCATTACTCATTGCTAGATCAAATTATTTGCACTGTGAACGTTTTATTGTTGAGGTTGTGACCCTCTGAGAGTCTCTTGATTGCAGGTAAAATCAATCAATCAATCAATCAATCAATCAATCAATCAATCAATCCTAGCTTCTGCAGAGCTGGAACATTTGGAAACCACTGTTACTTAGTTTGGGTTCAAATGACTGGAGAACAGGGCTGTGACTGAACTGCCTCTCAATTCAAAAAGTTATGCCATGTTGTTTTGTAAAAGTCCTGCCCTAAATATGTACAAATACAGTAACCAAGTATCTTCTCCTTCTCAGGGATAACAGTGAAGCAAGGTCAGTATAGATCCTTGGAGTGCCACCTACGGAAAGAACTTGTGATGCAGTTAGTTAAAATAAAGTACCAATCCCCAAGACCCACAAAAGTACCCACAAAGCTGGAAAGCAGCTTTTCAAATTGCTCAGCCACCAAGCATTGACCTCACAGAATGACCTTGAATACCCAGGCCAGCAAATCCCTGTAAAAGGAGCCTTCTGTCATGATTAGAACCCAAACAGTCCCAAGGCCACAACTAACTATTCCTTTCACTCCACAAACATCACACGATTTGGAAAAGATCCCTTCTTCATGCACAATGATCCAGAAGGTGTCTGGCTGGCTGGGGAATTCTGGGAATTGAAGTCCACACCTCTTAAAGTCACCGAGGTTGAGAAACACTGGTTTAAAGACTCCACTTTAGAATTCCCCATGCTGGCTGGGGAACTCTGGGAAGAAGTCTTCAAGTTGCCAAGATTGAGAAACACTGGTTTAGAGTGACAAACCATCTGTACAAACCACTAACCAGAGTTTGGCCATGCTTGAACACAATGCTAGTTAAAAATAGTTAAAAATGAATGTTTCTGATTATGTTTCCATAGCCATTCCAGGAGAGGGGAAGCTAATGAACGATCCTTTATGCAAAGTGAAACATTTCCTAAAATAAGGTAAATCCATTGGTTTATTGGAATATCACTCACAGTATGGGTAAAGAATTCCTTTATTAAGATCAGCCAATGTCTGTAAGCTATGGATAAGGCTTGGAGTTAAACAGTTAACTTCCTCAGGCCAAATAGTCAAAGGGAAAAATATTGAAGTACAGAAAACTAAGTAAAAACAGCATGAACCTTTACTCATCTTAGCTTGAATTAACATTATCTATCTATCTATCTATCTATCTATCTATCTATCTATCTATCTATCATCCATCCATCCATCCATCCATCCATCCAT